GAGAAGGCAAGACCTAATAGCACGAACCTTTTCAGGACTATTATCTATACTATCAGCTGAAACATAGATTATCATTCGGATGAGTTCTCACGTTTGTTTTTCATGTTGAATTCGAATGAAAACCTATTTTCAAAGAGTTTATAAGAAAGTAATTTTATCAATATTTGAAGCTTTTTACAATGAAGGAGATTATTTAATTGAAATAAAAAGTATATAATCATTAAAATAATGAAAAATAAAATAGAATAAATATTTTTTGTTAGTGTTAACTATTCGAATCCAAATGTTGCTCCATTTACAGCCGAATGGGATACACAATTTAAAGGTCTTTATGGATCTTTTCCACTTCGATGTTATTCTTCTGATGGACGTTATCTTCTTCTTTCTTCAATATCTGGTTCACGAAATGTTTTATATATATATGATTTTACTGAAGAAAAAATGTTATCTCTTGATTCACCATTAGGTGTTAATACATCTGTAAATGGTCTTGCTATATTTGGTCATTATGTTGTTGTTAATATTGTTGATTGTCGTACACCATTTCGTTTATATATATTCGATTTAAGAAATTTAAATAAGATAGATAAAGATATTAATGATTGGTATTTAATTGTTGAACATGAATTTAAAAAAGAAGAAAAAAATAAAATCGAATGGAATCTTGATCGTTTTTATCCTGATAATGAATTAATTCCTGTTGAATCAATTTATGTTCATATACGTGATACACAATCAAAACGACCATTAATGGTATTAATACATGGTGGACCAAATGGAAATGTTACTTGTAAGTTGTTAATAATGATTTGTTTTTTTTTTCTTTCGATCTTTTTAATAAATTAAATTTATGATTAACATCTATTTTTTTTTAGTGAATTATTATATTGGTGTTGTTTCATATATTGCATTAGGTTTTGATGTACTTATTGTTAATTATCGAGGTTCAACTGGTTTTGGACAAGGTACATAATAATAAATGAAAATTACAAAAATTAAATTCTTCTTATTTTAGCTTCAATTGATAAATTATTGGGTAATATATCAAAAGTTGATGTTCAAGATTGTCATGAAGCTATACGTCGTTGTCTTGAATATACCGAACCAAATCGATCAGTTATACTTATTGGTGGTTCACATGCTGGCGTTATTATTGGTCGTCTTATTGGAGAATATCCAAATGAATATGCAGTTGCTGTTATGCGAAATCCAGTTACTGATCTTCTTCATACTTATATTACATCGGATATACCTGATTGGAGTTTAGCTCAATCTGCTAATTCACAATTTGATTTTGAAACAGGACGTAATCGTTTTGCTGATACATCATTAATTACGCAACTTATTGAAATATCACCAATACGTCTTATTGATCAAATTAAAACACCAGTTTTATTACAATTAGGCAAAAAAGATAAACGTGTACCAAGTAGTCTTGGTTTACGTTATTATGAATGTTTAAAAGCCAAGAAAATTCCAACGAAATTATATATTTATGATAGTAATCATGCACTTAGTGAAACATCTTGTGCTAGTGATTGCTTTGTTAATACCGTTCTTTTTATTTATGAACATTTAAATTTATCATCATAATCGATTTTATTCTTTTGTTTTTTTAGTTTTATAGATTATTGTAGTGTTTTTTTTTTCAAAATAGTAGTAAGATTTTGATTTATATATATTCAAGATATATCTGGAATGTGAACACATATATCTATATTTAAACATGAAAATAAATATAATATGAGTGCATACTTACGGTTGACTAAAAAGTTTGATGATAACATAAAAATATTTTATTTAATTAAATGCTCAAAACAGTCATCATCATTATTTAGACAAAGTTCTATTGTTTATAAAAATTTGTCAAACGATTTTTTTTTGTTAAAATTCTTCTTCTGGAATATTTTTAACTATGTTGGAAATTGCATTAGTCAATGATTATTGGTTTGTTCGATCAATTAAATTACACTTGATATAATCATTTAATCAAGAGTTATGTTGTGGTCAAAATTGAAATTTTTTTTGACGAACAGAAAAAGGTAAGGGTGTGGGTGTGAGTGTGGGTGGATGGCTGAGGGTGTGTGGGTGTGGGGTGGGTGTGGGTGTGGGTGGGGTGGGTGTAGGTGTGGGTGTGAGTGGGGTGGGTGTGGGTGGGTGTGGGTGTGGGTGTGGGTGGGGTGGGTGTGGGTGTGGGTGTGAGGGTGTGAGGGTGGGGGTGTAGGGTGGCTGAGTGTGGGTGTGGGTGTGGGTGTTGATGATGAGAAGATCAAGACACTCCCACTCACATTCACACCCATACCTACACCCACATCCATACCTATACCCACACCCACACCCACACCCACACCCACCTCACACCCACACCCAAATCCATTCTCGTGATATGAATATTGTGTTCTATGTTTTCTACATAGAAGTTATTTACAAACATGCTGATCAATTCTTACATAAAGCTTCAGTTCATGTATCATAATCGACCGTAGCTTTGTCTTAAATATTCTTTGGTGTTGACATGATATTCTTTGCACATATGTGATGAAATAAAATACAGAAGTTTTTTCTCTGCAATATAATTTAAATAGAAGTATATTCAGTAATTCAGAATTGCTAGGTGCTCTAAACCAACACTCAATACGTTGTGTATTTGGCACAGCTCGATCAGACAATTTTTATAATAATAATATGACACAGATTAAACAAAACTTTTTCATTCGCAGTTTGTAATTGCACTAAAATCTGGAACGCATAGAAGAGATTAAAGTTAAAACCATCATTCCTGATGCTATTCTGATGGAGCCAGTCCTGTTTCTTGAAAATCAGTGCTAGTACTAGTCTGAATAGATCAGACCTGACTGAACCGATTGATCTGACATCTGAAACCATACTGCTTCTGGTCATGGTTGGTAGCGATTCTCTCTTAAGACAATGTTATTTAACATGACTAGGTTTCAAAAGAAACTTGTTAGGGTAGCTCCTTTGGGGTTGAAATATGGAACTCACATATCTTCTTTAGTTTGCAGTAGCATAGCCCATGGAAGGGCAAATGGGTAATTGCCCATTTCATTTGGAGAGATTTGCCCATTATAATTTTCATGAGTACGTTTTTGTCCATTGAAGTTTTACTCTTTCAGAATGGTTTATTTATTTTTGAATTAGATAGTAACTCTATTTTTATTCTTATGTCTGAACCACACATGCACTTTTTGCTTGTTCTTTTTGTGAACAATTAAGAAAAGAAGAAGGAAAGAATTACTTCTGGTATTTTAACCAGGGTTACCAGATGAAAAACTTGAAAATCGGAAAAACAGCAGAACTTTTTCTTCGAAATCGGAAACTAATCAGAAAGAGTAACTTCTTGCAAACCGAGGGCTATCATGTTGACATACTTGCACAAAATGCTTCACTTTTTTTGTTTATCGATTCATACTTTATTTCCAAAAGTATTCCGTAGTAAAGAAAGACAATACAAACATTATATAGCTTAGAGTGAAAGATCGTGTACTCTAAGCTAAGGATATTGATCATAATAGGATCAAATGAATGCTCTCACTGTTAAACCAACTAATTTGAAAATATGAGCTGTCAATAACGTACACAGATCGAGATATTCGAGTTTCAAGAAATTTGCAGTTTGTCATGTGCCCACGCTACGAAATTTCATCAATACGTAGTTTTCTTTTTTCGTCATGGTTGGATGAAGCATGATCATTTACATAAGAAAAAAACAATATCACGCATATTAAAAAGCAAATTCTACGAAGTCTAGAACAACATTTTTTTAATTATAAGGGTAATAACCAAAAAATTCTAATTGCTGCCAAATTGCTTTTGAATGTGTGTGATATTGCTTCTCCTTATGTAAATAGTCATGTTCCATCCAACTATGACGAAAAAAGAAAACTAAGTGTTGATGAAATTTCGTAGCGTGAGCATATGACAAACTGTAAATTTCTTGAAATTCGAATATCTTGGTCTGTGTACGCTATTGGCAGCTCATGTTATATACTAGTTGGTTTGTGAGTGAGAGGATTCATTTGATCCGACTATGACAAATCTTCTTAGTTCACAGTTACATGGCCTTCAATTGTTAGTTAATAAAAAAAAAGCTAGCAAAAAACACCTATTGTTGGATTCTTTTACGAAGCCCAAAGTCTGTTTACGAAAAATAATAAAGGTTATAGAACATAAATTTCATATTATTATTCAAGTTTTTCTTCGTTCAAAATTCCTCCTTCAACAAATATTTTTGAGCCAAAATATGTTTACAAAATCGTTCAAAAAAAAAACTAACATTCATTCTTAAGTTCAGCAACGCAAAAATTTACTGATATATTAAAACACTTGTCAGTAGGTGCAGAACTCAGAAACTATAAAAGATTATGAAAGGAAAGAAGGTAGCGGAATATAGATCTGTAATATTAATGATTTATAGTCATAATTAATTTCGCTAGTGAAGCCACCATCTAAAAACGTTCGAAATTCGGCAGAAATCAGAAAAAAGTACCAAAATCAGAAGATCAGAACAAAATCAGGAAAATGTTCAAATTTCAGAACCTTTCCTAACTTTTCAGAAGATCTGGCAACTCTGATTTTAACTGTAAGTTTGGGTGAATATGAGTTCGGTTTTATTGGGAAACACTAACCACGTAAAGATAGAGAAGAATAGATCAAAGAGGCGAGAAACAAGTGTACAGATCAATAGAACACACATGAACATATGTATATGTAGATATATATGTATATACATATAGAGTGACGGATAGAAGAGAAAGAGAAATTCCGATGACGTATATGTGGAAACATAAAGGAAAAAAATCAAGATGTGAAATGACATAATTCGTAGGGAAAATGTCCATATGCGCTGTACAGATACATATTGGAAGAATCCTCAACATAAACTTATGCATGTTTTTTTTACGTTATTAGTACTTTGTTAGGCCAAAAAACGTTTTGGCCTATCAATAAAAACCGTACTCATTGGTCTGAAAAATCTTGGTTACACCGCTGCTCTCCGATTGAGTAATAATGATAAAAACCACTAAAATCGAATAGAATTTTAACAGTTTTGTATAGTTTTATCACATAGTGCAGTAACTGAGATCCTTACTAAATACCCGCGTACATCTTTTTGTCTTTCGATCAATCTATCAAAAGATGCAGAATTTCATGTGCTATCAGGATATATAACTTCCATCATATCAGCTTATTTCTATATTTGAAATAATTTTGAAAAACATAAATAGAAAAAAAAACAAAAAATGTAATTCGAAAAAAACTGATAATCAAGATGTCTTTTGTGCTCTTGAAATTTTTTTGGTGGATAAATATAATTCTAGATGTTTATATATAGACTTGTAGAGAATTTTATGGGCTCTCAGAATATATAATTACTTATCTAAAAATAACAATTTATAGTGACGACATTTTAAAAATATCGAGTGCAACCATTTTTTTTTTCTAGACGACGATTTTTCATATTAAAGCAAAATATTATTGAAAATTTTTTCTATACTAAAATTCAATATCACAAAGTTTTGAGAACAGAATTCCATGTATTTTGATGTGCTCTTTCAAATGAGACTATTCTCAAGTTATTCCATTGTGCTGATCCGACTAACTTGCCTCATCTAGGTGGGCGTGTTTTCTGAAAATGGTATATGATACCAAGCAACAATTATTCAGTGATGATATACTTTTATTACCATCAAAAGATAGTCCATAATCGATAGTATTTATAGTAAAAAAGTCTCTATTATAACTCTTATCGTTGTTTAGAAAATGAAAATTTATTGAAAAGTGCTCCAAATATAGCCTACCCATCATACTTGCAACGTCTATATCTCCAGTGGCTTATCCGTTTGAGCTGAAATTTTCAGTTTCTTCCTAACTTTGTTAGGTCTACCTACTGTAAAAATATCAGTCAAATCGGTAACATTCATTCGCAACGTTGGTCGCGGCTTAGCTACAATGCTTCATGGAGTGAGATGTATTTCGTTACGAAAAATTTGAATTTTTTATTGGAATCAATTTCACACTTTTTTTATGAAATGAGTTGGACAGTACTTTTTTTTGAAAAAAAAGCTTTTCAGAATTTTGATTTTTGAGAGTTTTCAAAGTTCTGATCTTATCTTCCCCGAAACAAAACTTTTTAGAATCTTTTTTACCGAAATACTTAGAATTGAAAACTCTACAAATACTGGAAGTTTCATCAAAATCAGAGAACTTTTTTATACGATATAGCTGAGGTTCCATGAAAATAGCCTATGCAGCTGAACAGCTTTTAACTGGGATTTTTACTTTATTTATGTTGGTCTTTATAATAAAGAATGAATATAAATGAATTTTCTATTTGCAAAAAAGGAAGATAAAATAAATAAAAAAGAAATTGTTTTTAATAAGAACTTAATTTTTAATTTTTACCCGATACCTCGCAAAAATTTATGACACAATAGATACAAATATAATAAACAAAAAAGTTTTTTCATACATATTTCCATATATCAGCTTTGTCTTATAATAATATCACATATTGAAGTGATGTTGATGATAAGAAAGAATATTGATTAACATATCCTCTTGTTGTACTAAGT